CCGCGCCAGAAAGGGCGCTGGGCAAAACCTCACGCTGCCGAATAGGACGATTTAACTCATCAACGCGGGTGTGTTTGGCTTTCTATTTGTGCGAAAGTAAGTGAAGACTGACTACAGAAATGATCCTGTGAAGTATAGTCTTAACTTTTACAGCCATAACCTGTGGATGAAGACCCTCCCTGCGATAGAACCAGTTGGGAATTCCAATACCACCATCGGCGAAAAACACAACCGACACGCGGTGATTATTGTGCTTGGGGGAATGTTGTTGCCATGGGCTGACTAATTGTGCTTTGGACTTGAGTGTGTTCTAAGACTGTCGATCGGACATCTCTAGAATAAGATTTAAAGGTGTGAGAGAAAATTTAAAAAAAGAAAAGATAATTTCACTTGGCAGCGGTGGGATTCGAACCCACGCCTCCGAGGAGACTGGTGCCTTAAACCAGCGCCTTAGACCGCTCGGCCACGCTACCATATTTTGTTCTTTTGACAAGTGCGTGTGAAGAACTTGCGGCAGCTGGCCGACCACTGTTTCGTAGAGTGGCCTTGGGAGTTGAGTTGTTTCTATACGTATATTCTGTGCTGTTCAACTATTTTTACGAAGGCCGCGAGGCAGCGGCAACACCTTGATTTTATTTTTCCACCCACACTGCGACGCATATAAATGCGCTCATTTGGGAAGATAGAAAATGGCAATCTAACGAAATCAATTTCTGGCGCAAGCCTTCTGCCATTGCCATATCTGGCTGGCTGCTGCATTAAAATGTTTATTATATTTTGCAAAACTGTCAGCATTTTTGCTTAGACAGCGGCGTCGGCTTAGAAATGCGTTTAAAATTCAAATGAAAATGCGAATTTATGCGTGACAGGCGGTTGGACCCCCATTCCAGCCACACATGCAACCACAGCAACAATTTGCCGACGCCCTGCTGCTGCAAGCCATAAACTGAAGCCGGTGGCAGGGAGCCTGGAGCCTGGAGCCTGGAGCCTGGAGCCGGGCCACAGCAAGGAGTTGGGTATCTAGAAAAAGGAGGAGACTCCGACGGTACAAAACATCCGCAATGAAATTAGAAAATTGCAATAAAAATCTTTGCACGGTACGACAGAGAAAACAAAAACAAAGTCTGCGGTTGGCCAAAGGGTGCTCCAAGGACTGGGAAAACGGAGAGGCAGCGACACAGCAGCACAGCATTTGCGGTTTCATTAAAATGCCACCAAAAGGGAGCAAAAAGTCAGACGCCGCGTCAGCATAGAAAATATTTGCCACACGTGAATTTATACAAATTTAAGGCGCTCGCCCGGCCTGGAATTACGAGTAATTGTAAAATTGTTCAATCTCCATGCCAGACCGAGGCAGGTAAAAAGCACAAAAAATCACGTACAACCCAGGCGGCGAACACAGGCAGGGCAAAACCAGGTGCAAACGCTAATGGAGTTAATTGTGGGCATTATCAGGAATGCTGGGAATAAGGATAGGTCTGAGTCTGGCGTGGCCATGTCCGAATCAAATTAAACTTCAAACAATTGACAAATTGAAATACCAAGGACTGCAGTTGAACAATAGGCACATTCCAAGTGGCTTGGCTCCTGGGTAGATGAATGTCCACTTAATATGCCAGCCAACAATGGGGGAAAATCTTAATGAATGACTCGACAAATAGTTTTGTCGACATCACAAAACCTGAACATAGCTTAGAAAAACCAGGAACAGCAGGACAAGAAATAGAAACAAAAGAATGTATTCAAGCATTCAGAATATTGAGAAATAAAGTTTACGCGCCCAAGTTTTTAATGAAATCTAACAATTTGACCTGGAATAGAGTCTGTTGTCTGTTAATGGCCATTTGGCGGCTGCTCAAAATATGGTAGCGTGGCCGAGCGGTCTAAGGCGCTGGTTTAAGGCACCAGTCTCCTCGGAGGCGTGGGTTCGAATCCCACCGCTGCCAAGTGAAATTATCTTTTCTTTTTTTAAATTTTCTCTCACACCTTTAAATCTTATTCTAGAGATGTCCGATCGACAGTCTTAGAACACACTCAAGTCCAAAGCACAATTAGTCAGCCCATGGCAACAACATTCCCCCAAGCACAATAATCACCGCGTGTCGGTTGTGTTTTTCGCCGATGGTGGTATTGGAATTCCCAACTGGTTCTATCGCAGGGAGGGTCTTCATCCACAGGTTATGGCTGTAAAAGTTAAGACTATACTTCACAGGATCATTTCTGTAGTCAGTCTTCACTTACTTTCGCACAAATAGAAAGCCAAACACACCCGCGTTGATGAGTTAAATCGTCCTATTCGGCAGCGTGAGGTTTTGCCCAGCGCCCTTTCTGGCGCGGCACTTCGGTGTCCGTGTCGTTCGGGGCGCAGAGCTTCGATGATCGCTCGGTAAAACGGATAGAACGAATTCTGAGTGGTGTACCCTTTTTAACAAATACATTTGACAAAATTATAACAAGTTCTAGAAATATAACATCGGCCTTGTCGTCGGTTTGTTTCCTGCTTGCTTCTTCCCCTGGCAGTGTTATTGTTGTTCTACTTTGGGAAGCAATTAAAACACCACTTGACAGCGGCAAGGGCGCCCTTCTGCCGCGCGCTGTTTGTTGCCAGTTTGAAGTGTTCTTGTTGCACGGTGACAGTCCGTTAATGGGTGTGGGGCCCATATTTTTCGCCCATCTATCTGCATTATAAAACATTTTAGTGCAAAGCAGATTTTGGTTTTTTTGTGGCACCTCTCTCGAGGACGCTTCCGTGCTCAAGACGACGAGAAAAAAACTGAAAATTTGTAATAAAATGTTTGCTAATAGGCGGGGGAAGTGGAGTGGAGGAGACCTTCCACTAATTACTTAACGCTGCACATGAATGGCCCTTGAGCGAGGGCGTGATTTTTGGCTTAATTCAAAGTTGGAACCATCTCAATTAGTAGCTGATGACTACTTGGAAATGCTTAGAGAGAGTAGAGTAATGTCCTGAGAGAACTTTAGCATGTTCGTGGTTGTGAATGTGGTGCATGAATATTTGAGAAACTTTAATGCTGCACGCAACAACAATTAAGTGGTGCCTCGTTGTGTCCCACTTGGGCTGACTCGTCGGTTCCATTCGCATTCCTGCGACTTTCTGTAGTCAAACACGACACAACACGTAGTGGGAATTTATTTAAGCAATGCAAAGCAAATACTAGAGTGCTACGAGCTAGGGTACAGTGCGTTTCAGAGCTATGAAGCGGCAGAAAAATTCGTCAAAGTAGCATCAGGAAAAAAAAACTACACCTTTGGTTGTATAAGTTTTCTCTTTCACCTTTTGCCACGCACTGTATGTACGAGTATTTCCTTCCTCTCAGTTGTTAGTTTCTAGAATTCTCGTATTTTTTGAGTGCTTACATAAAAATACATTTGAAATGCGGTTAAGTGAGGTCGCTAAAGGATGGGAAGCACGAGCAGATAGCAGTTTCACCTAGGGGCCAAAAACTGACAACATCATCATCATCATCAGCTGTGGGCCAATCGATGATGATGATGCTTCTACTGCTGCTGATGCCAATGCGGCTGATGCTGTAATTGATGTCTTTGCGACATGTTCTCCCAAAGTGTTTACGTTGAGAATTACCCATGTGTCGCCCGTGTGAGCAGCAGAGGGGAAGTGGGTTGCGCAGGACACGCCCACAGCTAGTTGACAGCCCGCCGTTTACGTGCACTTAATGAAATGTGCCCCAAAATGGAAGCACGTACCGGGCATCTATTTAATGAGCCCTGCAAGAGGTTTTCCCCGGGAATGGGCCACCGAAAATGGCGGAAACGATAGGGGGGTTGGGAGGATAAAGAATGGGCTGGGAAGTGCTCATGAAATTTTTAAATGTCGCAGCTGAAATTCAATTTAATTTGTTGCCAGCTCGTTGGCATCGCTGGCAGAAGTGGATGGCTGCCTGCAGAGCAGAACAGAGCAGAGCTGCATTATTCAATGGCACTCTCACACGTAAGCTGCTCAAAGACCCGCATCCTAAGCCTCCTCAGCCGCCTATTCCCCAGACCCAAACTCCTTTTGCGGCTGGGAGTAACCGCAGTTTAAAATTCATGTGAGCTTTTCAACAATTTCAGAAACCCCACCTGCACCCCCACACAGACACCAGCACTCCCATGGAGAGCACAACAAAATGCGATTAAATGTGTGGAAAATGCTCGACTCTTGCTCTTGTTCCTGTTCCTGTTTGTTGCTGTTGCTGTTGCCGCTCTGTGGTCCGCAGGGATAAGCCACAACGGGTTAAAGGCAACGTCTTGTTTGCACATGTGTTGCTGGGGGGCACACCTCAAAGCCCCACGCCCCAAGCCCCATTCGGAAGTCATGGAAAGCAGCCCGGGGCCGGGGCTGACGTACACACAGATGCCGAAGGTGCAAAAATGCGTTAAACATAACATGCTAATTCCTGGCGCCTGCAGCTTCGAATCTTTCACCTGGCCAGCGGGGCCACATTCACACCCTGCCACACATATTCAGTCCCACTCCGACATGCTGCTGCTTCTGCTCCTCTGGAGCGATTCCTTCTGGCTCCTTCTGGTAATATGAGCGCATTGTGTGCCATTTGAAGCTGAAGTTGTTTCGTGGTGGCACCCTTGGACTGAGTATAATCATTTTGACCCGAAGTTGGCACGGAAGTGTGTCTATAACTGGAAAGTACCTCTGCGCGGCAAGGGTATTGCCACTTGCGACTGCGTTTCTTTGTACTTTTCAACCAGGTTCTCCCATTTGGCTGCTTTTTTGTTTTTCTGCCAAAAGTTGTGTGGCTCTGCAGACATGCGTCTGAGGTGGAGTACCTTTTTGTCTAGCTAAGACTTGTTTAAAGTAGTTTGAAATATTCCCAAAAAGAACTCCAAAGAACCACAGTTCCATGTTCGATCAGCGATCGCCCAGCCCTGACTTGGCAAAGAGAGCGAAACGGTGAGAGAGAGAGAGAGAGAGAGAGCTTTGACAAGCTTTCTCGCCAACAGCTGGCTGGCTGTCTCCAGATTAGTTTGTTTTTTTGGCAGCAGCGACAGCATGGAGAACGCCAAGAACGGCACCGGCAAGACCTTCAAATACAAGCCGCTTCTTCGCATGGGCATTGCCGTCCTGGTGCTGCACACCGTCTGCTGGCTGGGATGGAATGCGGTGAATCGTGGAGCGGAGTCCAGCAATGCGGCGGCCACAGCCAATGCCCAGCATGAACGTCTGCGAGCGGCCATCGAACAGAAGTGAACTCTGACGTAACGGAATGCCAAACGAAACTCTAGATAAATGTGCAAATGATATGTGATTATAGCAGTAAACAAAAAGAACAATTAACAGACGAAAAAACAACAACAAAATAGTTGAAAAAGAGGGGGAAAAGCTTTCCGCTCTCGATCTGCTTTTGCAGCTTTTGCAAAAGCTTCTTGGAAGCCAACTCTGTTTGTGTTTTCTAAACTCGGTTTAGTTCCGCAGCTCTGTAGGCCGAGGCCAGTATATTCTCCACTACTTCAAAGGGGGTTCTGATACTTCGAAATGCTATCGAAAGTGCTGCTGGTATTTGGATTTCTGCTGATGAGCTGGCAGTGGGCGCTGACCATGCCCAGTCGCAGCAGCGGGCACGCTACAGCCCCGCCAGCAGCAGCCCAAAACTTCTCGGACTTTATGGTGCAGAGCATCTTTGACCTGCCGCCCAACTGCAAGCCGGGCGAGGTGGCCACCGGTCCACATCAGAGATGTCGCCACCAGGCCTGAGTGGAAGTGAAAGTGTCCAAACTTTGGGTTGACTAATCCAAAATGAGTCTTCCACCGCAGCTGCGGAATGGAGACGTGCTCCAAACTCTGTTTTCTAGCTGCTTCTAAATAAAATAAACGAGTGCCCCCCCCCATATATAAATAGTAAGCATTCGCGTAGCTTGGATAGCCGTGTCGTGGGAACTGACAATAGTTCTGTGAATTCCATTGAATATTGAGTAGTTTGCAGTGACAAAGAAAGACTCTACTGAATTGTATTGCATTTTTTGTTGAGGCACAGCGAAAGAGTGTAAAACCCATTTACCTCGCTCATTAATTGCTGTCTGTTCTGTTTGACAAACATCTGTGTAAAACCAAAGTGCCATCTGCTATTGCTAGAGTATTCAATGAGGAGCTTGAAGCACCTGCAAAGTGTGTTCTTTCGATCTGAATCTCTCGGTTGAAGCTTTCACGTGCTCTTCTTGGGAGAGCTTCACACTCCACGAGGCTGATTAGCTTAGCTGCTGTGTCTAAGTACGGTTTAGTAGCTTAGACTTAAAGCCCGCGAACGGTAATACTCGCACTTTGGTGGTCTGACATTTCGAAAATGCTATCAAGATTATTGCTGATCTTTGGGCTGCTGATGCTGAGCTGGCAGTGGGGACAGACCATGCCCAGGCACGAGGAGACTACCCACAAGGCCGTACACGAGCACACCACTGCCAGGCACAGCCACGGACACCATACTACAGCCAGGCACAGCCACGGGCAGCATACTACAGCCAGGAACATTCACGGACATCACACCACGCCCAGGAACATTCACGGGCAGCACACCACGGCCAGACAGCTCCAGGACGTTCACACCACACGCAAAACCATTCTTGGACGTCTTACGCAAAAGACCAGCCACGGACACACCACGACCACGCCCAGCAGTGTGCAGGTTACGCCCACAGCCATCGAAGAGCCCATTCCGGGCAACTTTTCGGGCATTAGCACGGTGAGCCTGTTCGATGTGCCACCCAGCTGCAAGCCAGGACACGTGCCCACAGGTCCCAATCAGCGGTGTCGCCTCGAGGTCTGACTCGGAGTTAAATGTTTATTTAGCTGACGAATGGTTTGCCTTAAACTTTGTTCTTCTTTCTTCCTACTTGGATATTAAATATAAAGTGTACAACGGATTTAATCCTAGAAGTTGATCCGTTTAGGCTGGCTTCCTGCAGCGGCCTACGAAGATGCGATAACCTTTGGGGCACTTGGCCAGGGCAGGGCGAACGGTGCAGAGCAGCCACAGGAAGGCCAACGAAATCAGCAGAAGTTTTCCCCTGAGGAGTATCATTTTTGGTTGATTTGCTGAGCACTAGCTGCTGCTGGAATGCGTAGTTTCTTTTAAATAGACGACGACCCAATCGACCCGAGGGTGCAGCTCTTATCTGGAACACATCACTCAGCGGACAGCCAGCTCGCTCGTCTGCGTGTGGAGTGGATCAGTTCAGACTTGTGTCTCCACTCGAATGTGTGTCCCCCCTTTTAAATAGACAAACGATATTTTCACTTGCCTCTCCAGGTATTGGTAATTGATTTCATTGCTAATCTCATGACGCACTTGAGCGTGGCGTGAAATGTAGCGCCTCAAATTTCGATGTTTTTCTCGCTCTCCCCCCGATTAGATTGCAATCTTATCGGCTGGGTATGAGAAATCGCAGCGCACTCGCTCTCATTTTCTTTATTTGTTACTCAGAATTATTGTCTTGTTTATTGTTTGTCATGGAAGGAAACCCGATGAGGCATTTATGAAGAAAATAAATGCTGACAAACGGAAGCAAGGGGAAGTCACTTTTGGGCCTTAGGCCGCTTTGCGACAACGTCCCGCCATCAGCACGGTGCCGTCCGTGCAAATGGGATCCGTGCTGAAGAGATTGCGCTGACCCACGGATGATGGCACGGACTCCTCCGTCTCCGACTTGGGATCCCTGTGGCCCCCAGTGCCGCCTTGACTCAGATTGGGCGACAGAAAGTCGTGAGTGTTGAAAATGTCCTTCATCGCATCATCGGCAGGCGCAGCTCCTGGCACGGGCTGCGCTCCGTTTCCGGGTCTCGGCTGGATGGTGCTGCCCACTTGGCCGGCCTGACCCTGACCTGGCAGCGGCTGGAGCGTGTTGGGTGTCTGGAAGTTGAACTGCGAGAAATCTTCGTCGGCAGTGCCTGGCCGAGGCTGTATGGGATTGGAGGCGCCGCCCACCGGCTGCTGGCCCTGGCCCTGGCCCGGACGTGGTTGCTGGAAGCCCTGGTCCTCACCTGAAAGAGAATTTCCTGGTTGTTTGGCGATCGGCTGACGGAATCCTCCTTCACCTGGTCGCTGGAAACCACCTTGTCCCGGTCCTGGCTGCTGGAAACCTCCTTGTCCCGGTCCTGGCTGCTGGAATCCTCCTTGCCCCTGTCCTGGCTGCTGGAAACCACCTTGTCCCGGTCCTGGCTGCTGGAATCCTCCTTGCCCCTGTCCCGGCTGCTGGAATCCTCCCTGACCTGGTCCTGGCTGCTGGAAATCGCCTTGTCCTTGTCCTGGCTGCTGGTAACCGCCTTGTCCTTGCCCTTGTCCTGGCTGCTGGTAACCGTCTTGCCCCTGTCCTGGCTGCTGGAAACCTCCTTGTCCCGGTCCTGGCTGCTGGAATCCTCCTTGCCCCTGTCCTGGCTGCTGGAATCCTCCTTGCCCCTGTCCTGGCTGCTGGAAACCTCCTTGTCCTTGTCCTGGCTGCTGGAATCCTCCCTGACCTGGTCCTGGCTGCTGGTAACCGCCTTGTCCTTGCCCTTGTCCCGGCTGACGGAATCCTCCCTGACCTGGACCTGGCTGCTGGAATCCTCCTTGCCCCTGGCCTGGCTGCTGGTATCCTCCTTGTCCTGGTCCTGGCTGACGGAATCCCCCCTGTCCCTGTTGGAATCCAGGCTGTCGCCCATGGAAGTGACCGCCAGGCTGCTGTCCGCGGAATCCACCACCGCCAGGCTGTTGATTGTAAGGATCGTAGTGGGTCGGTGGGTACCTTCCCCCAAATCCTGGCAGTATTGGCGGTGGAGGCGGTGGGCCGTATCCAGGGCCAGATCCATGACCTCCACGCCTATTACCATGACCATGATGATGATGCCTGCAAAAAGTTTGTCTAGGATCAGTGAGGAGGAGGAGAGGGGCAGTGTATGGTTTGACCCACCTTGTGACCTGTCCGTAGCCGCCCTCGCCGCTGCGCGAACCTTCCACGTAGTAGGGATTCTGGGGACGGGCGCTGGCCAATTGCGCACAAAGCACGATGAGCCCCAGGCCCAGACACACTCCCAGCGATAAGAGTTTGGAAAACATTCTCGAAGCCCGTAAACCCCTCCTGCTGTGTGAAACACTCAAACGAGACTGTTGTTGATCTTTCCTTGGACTCGCCGATTTGTGATGCTGGAATATGGAAATATTCTGCTATAGATCGCTGTTCGAGCGGCTGATAAGCGAAAGAAGGCTGCCCCAGCACCGAGTTCATGACATCAGATAGGGAATTAATCGATTGGAAGAGACAGAGAGAGAGAGAGGGATTCCGAGAGCTGGTTTGACTCACACCAGGAGGGTGGAGAGGAGGGGATTTGTGGCACTGCAAACAATGTAATTACCTTCACACAAATCAAAGGTTTCCCTTCCACATAGTTTGATAGTTTCTTCCCCCGTCCACTAAAGCTATAACGTGACCGGCACTTCGAGTGGGATTTTTTCCAGATTGTTTGTCGTTTTTTTTGTTGTGTTTGGGAAGCGACTAAAAAAACACAGATGCCAAATCAGCGAAAACTCATCGCTTACAAGCGCAGACAAAGCTGCGAAATAATGCTATTCATATATCACTTTATTGACTAACATCAGACTAACATTGGAGACTTAGAGAAACTACACAATGGGGAGACGACACCTTGGAGACGCTACTTAAGCCGACTTTCGACAGCGATTCGCGCGCAGCTCGAAGCCCGATTTACACCGCGGCAGAGTGTCCACCAGTATCCGATTGACTATGATGGGCGTAATGGTCGTCTCAGTGCCATTGAGGGAGGAGTCTTCCGTCGTCGGCTCTGTGGAATCCTGCGCTGTCGTTGTGGGTGTCGCTGCTGTGGTCACTATCCACGCAGGCACCGGGGCATTGGCTGAGGCATCGGAATCGTTGTCACGCGGAAACACAATGCGATCATCGGTGCAGGGTCGAGATCTGGCCTCTGTGCCGCACAAGCTGCATGCCAGCAACAACACCAGTGGCAGACACAGCGCAGATTTGTTTGCAGTTTTCATTGGAGAGCAGAGCGGATCGCGTTGGGTCGCTTCAACGAAGCTTTCGAGACTGAACGGAGTGTGGAATCTTGCTGATGATCATCTGTCCCACGGAAACAGCTATGGAGAAGATATGCGAGATGGCGATAAGAATGGAGGGAGTAAACACAAAACACAATGGAAGCGGAGTTGCTTGCCAAAGAGAGAGAGAGAGAGAGAGAGAGCGGGAGAGAGCGGGAGAAGTGAGAGCAGAAAAAAGCTTCTTTGCGCTCCGCAAAAAAGGTAAACAATGCAGCGAAGCTTTCAGCAAATACTTACAGTGGGTCAAGCAAATGTTTTTGCAAGCGAAAAAAAAAAAGGGAACTACAAACATGGAAATCATTTCATTGCCATTCTCTATTTATTATTCAAAATGTAACTCATTCACGCTGCAATGTGTAAAATTTGTTTCCTTTGTACAAATAATTTCTTGGCTTCATTTAATCTTTATTCAGGCCTTCTTGCGGCAATGGTCATTGCTTAGGGTAAATCCCAGCGGACAGACGCGTATGCTCTCGAGGGTTATCCGTGGTCCAATGGGTATAATCCCCATGGGCGCCATGGCCATGTCCGTTCGATTTCCCTCCACGATCTTTCTAATCACTTTATCCTCGCTCTGGGTACGGGTTGCATTCCTGGACACTGGCTGGGTCTCTTCTGTTTGGTTCTTGGCCACAGGAATCGTTTCCCCTCTGTTTTCGTTGCGTGATGGCTCTACGCGTGTTCCATTGACATCACTTCCGGGTTGCACTTGATTGGATTCTGTTTGCCTCAGGCTGTTCCTCACATCTGGAAACAGTTGCCAAGGCTTGGGACTGCTCTCCGTTGCATTTGGTGCACGTTCAGTGGGAAATACCACGCGATCGCTGGCCACTCGTGCCGCATCATTCGGATCCAAGAAGACAAGAAGCAACAAAAACAACGGCGGCATGGCATACATCCGTATAATTGCCATCGTCAAAATGTTTTGCAATCGAAATCCCAGCAAACACGTTCACGCTGCCCAGTTTCGCACTCGAGACTGAGAGAGCAGCTCAGAGTTGGTCGCAGTCCCAGAGTCGCTTCCAGTCTCCCAGGGCCGGTCCCAGAGCGCTGCTTTGTTTGCTTGTAAAGTTCTACAGCTGCTGGCAAGAGTGTGGTGTTTGGCGATAAGGTGAAACATGGCAGCTAAGTAAATAATATAAAATTAAGTAAAACAAAACTCTTGCATAACTGAAGTGTATAATAATGAGCGAGCGAGAGAGCAGACAGCAGACGAATCGATCGATTAACCGCAAGCTCGGAGCTGCAGTCGAACTGCGAATTCAATTTCAAGGCTTGAGGTGAGCAGCGACACTGAGATAATGGAATCAGTTGAATTGTTGCACCTAGAGATGGGTTAAAGGCAAAGCAGGAAGTGGTTGATAGTTTTTACCATGCTTCCCCAACCCATCAGCTGAGGCTGGGTTTCTCCCTGCTTCGACCTTCCCCAGATACATTTGGCATTGTATCTCATCCCCTAAGTGGCGGCTTTTTATGAAGTAACCTGAACCCGGGCCCTAATAAATGTCACCAATTTGGGCCAATAATTTTGACAATTCTATTGTCAACCACCAAAATCTCATAAGGGGGAAGCAACGCCCACACCAGCAGCCATACCAGCAACCAGCAACATCATCATCATCAGGGCGTGGGGCGTGAGGCATAATTTTCGCAAAAAAGAAAATTGAAACATAAAAATGTCATTTGTTGTGCGGCTGAAGAAAAAGTGTGTGTGTGGCTTAAATACTGGCAACCTTTTTTCTCTCCGTGTAGTACATAAAAAAACATTAAAATAATGCCCGTTCGGGTCTCAGACAGCTGGGGCAGGCCGGGGACTCAGAGGCTCGTAGAGTCATTTATTTACGACAAAAAACCTTTTCCCCAGCCCCAGGAAGTGAATGCAAAATTTATGCTAAACAAGTGGTGGGAGTTTGGGTGGAAACTCCCTAATTTGGGGTGTGGGAAGCTGCTCCTGCCGAACGGACAACCACCGCGCCCGTGGCCGCGGCTGTTAATCAGTGAAACTTTCGAAAAGTAATCAGCAAATATTTGCACACTTTTTGTTGCGATTTTCTCAAGCATTTTCTTCATTTTCATAAAAGCCGGGCCTTACCTGCCGCCAGCCACATTGATTGTTGATGTCTGCTTATTGTTTGCTTATTATTTCACTTATTTTTCTGCGCAGAAATACGCAGATATCAAAGCAGTTTCCGATCTACTTGTGGGGCAACCTTCAACGGCGTTGGTTTCATCATCATCATAGTCATCTCGAGAGCCCTCGTATCCAGCTGCCTTATAAGCCACTAACTGCTTTCACAATTGTCTTGGCCGCTGCGTAGGCATAATGGTCAGCTGCTGCCATTGATTTTGGCTCAGTTAAACTTGGACCATCAATCACAATGGGCAGCTCGTGTTACATTGTCTGCGGTCTGGCGCTACTCCTACTGCTTTGGGGCCACAATCCTGGCACTCGGGGCGCTGCTGCAGCCACAGACAGCGAAATTGTCGAGGCACAAACGGCGGACCAGCTCAATGCAAGCCAATTGAATGCCGTGCGCCCCGTGGCGTTGCCAAATTGGAATCCCAATGGAACGATGCAGGTGCAGCCGTACAACATTCTGGAGGCCAACTGTCCGCACGGCTATGTCCTGGCCAATAAACATTGTCATAAGCGTGTCAAGTGAAGTTGAATAAATTGTAAAGAGAACACAAGCAGTAAGTAAAGCAGCCCTAACCTAGCCAGAGGAAGGCCCTTCGATTGCCCACAACCAATATGTTGCGGTCAGCCACAGGACTAACCCGTGGCTCGCCCACTCTGCCCCATTTGACATGGCCCCAGGGAGAGGGCGAGGAGCTTGCTCGGCTAACCGCATACATAATTTCCAAACACAGGCCACAGGCATCGGGGGCATGGAGCTGACTGATATGCAGCCAGGGGCTGTCATTAGTTAGAGGTCCATTAACAAAAATGCAACCCAACTGCTGGGGCCGCTGCTCGGAGGACACATGTCGATGGTGCAGACATGTCCCGGCCCGTTGTCACTTACAGGTAACAGCTGCAGGGAGCAGCGGCGCAAGGAGAGGATTGCTGGCTGCCGTATTAATTCGTGATGCTGCCACAAAATATGGCTTCACTTAGGCCCGGGTTCTGCAGACACTGTCCATGAATGAGTTAATTAGACGCCTCCTGCCCGGCAGGGCATAATTTAGAGTCATTTATCAGAGATGTCCGTTGGTCACATGGAAATTGCCTCGCAGATCATGTGTGGGCTACCCCCGACCCAGGGAGCTTCACGACAGCTTCATTATTTTGTGCACTTTATTGGGTGGGTGGGGGGTTGTTGCCCTACAGCCGCTGCTGCCCCAAGGGATTGCCCAGCCAGGGATAGACAGCCGGGCACTTGTCGCAGACATTCATGTATCGCTCCTCGCCGGTGGACAGCTTCTGGACATGACATTGGACCGCATGGCAGGCAGCCTCCGGCATGGCGGGGCAGCCCTCAAACGGGGCCCCCAGCACGGGCTTCTTCACGTACTCCAACATGCGCGAAATGCCAGTCAGATAGACATCCGGATAGGTGTTCAAGTGGCGAATGAATCTGCACAGAGTGGGGCAGATATTTAAGAGGGATTCTTAAAGGGTTTTGCGTTGATAAAGTTACTTCTTGAAGGCGGCAAAGTAGTTGCGGCCACGTGAGAACCAGGCCGCATGCAGATACATGCCGAATGGGGCACGATTGCCCTCGTAGTGGCGATTGAAGTTCTCCAGCATCCAGTCGAACAGTGCATCGACCTTGTCCTCGGGCGGATAGACGCAGGCGTCGATCATGGAGCAGCTGTAGCCCTCGGTGTCGGTCCACGTCACCATGGGATTGACCCACAAGCCGGGTATGGCAGCATCCGGACAGGGTCCAATCTGGCAGTCCTGCTTGGACAGATAGTCCAGGGTGTAGGGCCACATGGCTGGATCCTTGAACTGCTGCGTGGGCCAGGAGCTGTCGTAGCTGAGGCCCAGCCGCTTGGCAGCCGCGAAGCTGTTGTTTCCCGATATCTGCAGGAAGGGCAGACGCATGCCCTGCACACTCTGCGGATCCACCTTGGCAAAGGCCTGCAGCATCTGCAGCTGATCCCCAAACTCCCGCTCAATGGTGGCCACATCCGCGGCGCGCCAGTAGTCCGTGCCGTCTCCATGGGTCACCGAGTGCAGGGCAATCTCGTGGCCCGCCCGATACAAGGCATTCACGCGGACATAGTCCGTGTACTCGTGCGACAGGAAGAAGGTGCCGCTGGCCGTGCAGCCATCGGGATTGGTCAGCCCGCTGAACAGCAGCTCGTACTGGGCATAGTTCACCGCATTCACGGCATCATCAAAGGTTATTGTCACGAACTTTGTAGAGAGGTTAACACGAGAAGAGTTCAGCAAATCAGCAAATCAGCAGTCCACCAGCCTCACCTGTGGTATCTCCCTCTCTTTGCCCTGGAACTTGGAGCGCGGCAGAACGGTGTCCGAGCAGCGGCATTCGGGCAGCTTGCAGCTGGCAGCCTTGCAGTTCTCGGCCTTGGGCAGCACGAGTTCTCCCTCCTGCTGATCGGTGGGTGCCTTCTGCTTGTTCTTCAACTTCTTGGTCTTGGTCTTGCCGGACTGCTTCTGGGCAGCGCTGAGCAGAGCCGCACAGAGCAGCAGCCCGAGTATGAGGAGAGTCGAGCACTTCATGCTGAGGGGGAAGACACTTTAATTCTCCAGCTCGGGCGCTACTCGGCGTTCTTATAACCTTGATGTGGTGGTGCCAGTTGCTATCTTATCGCAGGTCTAAATATGATTTGCTTGTTCGACACAGACACAGACTCACAGAGGAGGAAGTGCGGGGGGTGTGGCCCTGGGTGGGGTCCGACTGACCTTGGTGGGGCCTCAACTTTCGAGTCAGACGGGGAGGGGGACATTCAATTAAAGTCAGCAACTAGCAATCGAAGTGGAAAAGTTTTGCCTCATTAGCATAACCAAGGAACTTAACAGCTG